TTCAAGAAAAATAAAACATCTATTCCGTTTCTGATAAAACAAATGTAAATTTGTTTTATCAGTCTTACTAAGAAAATGAAAGTTTATTATATTCTATTCCAAGGTATTGAAAACGAATTTGGCTCTAGTATTAAAGTATACCTATGTTACTATCGGTAGTACGTAATGGATAAAACCTGTGGCATAGTGTTGATCAGACTTTTATTAGAAATCCCCGAGGATAAAAATATCGAGCTGTAACGGCATCGCTGCACTCACTAGGGACAAGCTAATACTTTTATAGTAGATTTGTAAAATAGCATCCTTTGTAACCGACTTAAAGAGATTTTCAGTTTGAATGTACAATTTTTGTGTATATGTTACGCAGTATTTTGCAATCGTATTAAAAATAAATTATTTGTGTTTAAGTCCGGTTCACTAGATAATAATAATCTTTATCTGCTTAGGAGTATATCTGGGCCTACCCAGAAAAAATAATAATAGATCGGAACATCTTTATTACCCTCTCTTATCGTGCACTACGGTGTTCAAGTCTATTATTTTTCTATGCTTTTATTTTTTTTAAAACTATGAATTTCTCCTACATCGTGGGGCAGTTTACATATATACATATTACAAGGACAAACATACAGACCCGGACCAATTATTTGTAGTCCATACAAACAATTGTTCCGTACAAGATTCGAACCTGCGGCCCTTAGCGCTGCAACTAATGAGTTGCTACGGCATACAAGCTAAGGCACAGCGCCACGGAGCGGTCCGTTACTACGATTATCGAGTGATGGTATAATTATAAACTATAAGGCATTTCGCCTTAAACTTCTCATCAAAGTTGCCAACGCATCTTTGGCTTTCTTTGTTTGAAATTGTTTGCTGACCACCTGTTAATTAGTTGTTTCAATTTTATAAATGAATATAATGTTTCCGTATTATCTGCTTTAAGTTATCTTCATTTTTTATATAGTGGTTTTATCTGTAATATACTTTTATAAGCTTTTTTTTGCGGATAGTAACAGAAATTGACGTTTGGTGTGAACCTGACCGCTGGAAAATTATACGATAGTACGAAGCTGGTTTTGATACTGTAACGAACCCCCCCCCCCATCTTTTTTCTTTTCTACTATATATCCACTTATACTTTTATTTCTTTAGAATCTATATCTGTAAGATATATAAATATATCTAATTTACGTGACCAGTATAACTTGATCTTTCTAAAGGTTTAAATATAGGCCGTTTAATAAATTTATGGCGTGATCGTCTTAGTTAGGACCCTTTTTTACGTTGTGTTTGTATAGTAACTTAGTTCTTTTAGGTGTATCTTGGAAGAATGAATATTCACGAGAGCAATCGAAAGCTGTTGGTAGAGTCTTATAAGCTAAAGAACCCCGTTCACGAAGACAGAGCTCAAAAAGGTTAAGAACAATAAATTGTCCCTATTCCACTTGTATCTGGTTCACAACAGTCAATTCCTTTTTAATTAATCCCTTCCCGCTTGGAAAAGGCTCACAATATTTATATCAAATACCAGTTACAAGGGTTTCGCTCTCCCACATTTTAAAAAAAATGTGGAGGAGGTACACGGCCCCACACACGCCGCGCATGGTGAGCGCCAACCATTTTAATGCGCTCCCCCCGAAGGGTACGCGAAGTTGGGAACTGGATCGTAGTCCACAGCAAAATAACTGGCGAACCAGTAAAAGAGGACTTGGCCCCTTGGATAGTGCGTAAGCACAAACATCGACCGAAGTCGCGCATGTCAATGCGTGTAAAAGCCATACAGAATACGATCAAATCCAGCCACAGTGAAATGTACGTTACACGGGTTAGGCAACAATCGGCACACTGACCATAAAAAGCCCTCCGTGAGCGCCACCACCTGCCAGACCGCCATTTCTGCAGACGTGATGTAAGTGTAAGGCATCTCCACCAATTGCATGGTCAGCACGGCCAATTGGCCGCAGAGCGTGTCATGAGTCTACCGCTCACCTCAAGGGAATGGGGTCCCACGTTGCGCGGCTTTCGGCCGCAGCCTTGAGAGCCTCCTCAGATTCTCCCTCCAGCTACCACCCGCATGAGGTCAACACATATGCTCCACCAACCAATACAATGGGAGATATAGCCAATAGGCAGTTATAAGATAATATTAATAATTCGCCATCAGAAAGGGTTTGTGTCACTGACGTTGAGTAAATGCATTTTTCGATCATGTTTGTCTCACCCACCAACAAGTTGCCTTCAATCTCTCAAAGGTGGGAACTTTATAGAGATATATTATTAAGTTGTTATATAAAACATCATGGAGGGCAGACAGTCTGCAGCCCCGCAATGAAGGGACCCGACTTGGGCAAAGCTACTTAGGTTGTGAGTCAAACCAAGACGCAGAGAGCGCCATTGAGAATAGCGACCCGCCAAACAACCATCGTAGAGACGCAATGCTACAGAATGCAACAAGCATCAATACGACTATCGTCGGGCTTACATCATCCCAAGGTCCCCCATACAGTCCCAGCAGACATCACCACCCGCATACCTCCATCGACCAGAACCACAAGATGCATCGAATCAGTTCCATCACAAGACTCAATACTGCAAGTAGCAGTAAGCATCAATGCAACTATCATACGGATGGCGCCCCCTCACAACACACCCACATGATCCCTATCGACTTTGGTAACAAAATTTGATAATGTTGTTATCTAAAAATACCACCAACGTATCATAGTAGTACGGTACTAAGACGTCAGTAGCCAAAACTCCACGTATCATAGCGCTATTGCACTAAGACATGAAGTTGAGTATGCTTGCTGCACTTAAACGTACTACCAAACACACTCACCCCAATCCGAAAGATAGCCGACGTATCATAACGCTATGCGCTAAGACGCCGCCCACAACCGGTAGGGGTGTGCGATGTCCACGGGCAAGTCGTATTGCTACAACAAACCCGCTTACCACCGGCACTAAGATGATATGTCTAGGACACATCGGTTAGTGGGTCCAAGTTTACCTCGGTCTCAGAGGCTGCGAAGCAACCTACACGCCACTATAATAATCCTTTTCAAGTCCCATTTCGTTCAATATAATGCTTTTACATATTTGAGACCTTCCACATATTTGCTTTATTTCATAGACCATACTACTGTATGTCTTATTCATGTGGGACTTCAAGTCATAACTCTGCTATCATAATGCTTATGCATCATAGAGACCTTCTATATTAATGCTTTGGTTCGTCAGACCTTACTATGTTAAGTCCCTAATATAGGACTAGTCATTGTGCAACCTTAGTACTAGCAGTCGGTCAGCCGACCACCCCATATATATGTACAACCTTGGGTATGTGTCTCCAACAACGGCCCCAATATAAGGGAACATTACAAGAACACGTTCATTAACTTAGAAATTTTCCAATTATTACACAAACACCTTCATCAACTTAGAAAATTTTAATCCATTTTTTCTATTATATTACAAACGTTATTTATCTTTGTTATTGCAATATAATCGCCTTGTATTTATATGATTTGATACATTTTGAACATTTTAAGCAGGTTTTTAATAAATTTAGAGATTTTTAGAGACATTTTATGCGTTTACTAATATATATAATATTCAATATTCCAAATGGATATTTTTGAACTCTATGCTTATTATTTGCATTTTATTGTTTAAATTATAATTTCTATGACATTTTTAAATGTCTGTATAATGAATTTAATTATTATTTATTAATAATAATTATGAGGCGTCACAATCCACCCCCAAATTTTATGTTAATGATCCACATAGTGGAGTCGTTAATATAAAATTTTAGTATTTTGAGAGCATATACACTACACTCAAATAATTGTTTATATATCTGTTCTTTCCTCTTTTAATCTGTTACAATACGTCATATGATATCAAATCCCCCTGCCCCAGAGAATGGCCGCCACCAACACCCCTTCAACCACAATTATCACAATGTGATAACACCATAATTCAAGTTATTGTATATCGTGTTGTTAATAAAGTTTGCAGTCAATTGTCGATTTCTTATTTTATTAATTTATCTTTAAATCTTTGAAACATTATTTCGATAGTGTCACACTTTATGTGCATACAATCCAGTTGGATATTTGTTGAGATCAGTTCGATACCACATAGGATGAATGTGATTGAGCCATTCGCCCTGACCCAACTCCCATATTTATTTAATAAAAATGATTACAAAATTATCTTACGATCTATATTTACAACTCTTCATTATATATTAATAACGTTCTACTATCATATAACAAATCTCTTGCTCATAACTTTAATAATTTTAGACCTTTAACTTAAACAATTATTTCCATGGGCCACCCCCTTTTATGTTACAATATTTATTTACTTACTCTATTTATACAAAAAGAAATTATTATTTAAAATATTTTAATAAGTGAATAGCATTGAAAATTCCTCTAATTTCGTTTGTCTCTGGATTTGCTAAGGTATATACATTGTCAAATGGTACGGCTGCTATTACATAAGGTCCTTCATATGCCAAATTGAACTTACTCATAACTTTATTATCAGCGTCTGATCTACTAGATCTTGAAATTTTTACTAAGTCACCAATATTATATTTTATTAATCTATTTCGCTTATCAAATTTTGTGTTTCTTATTCGACTTGCCTCTTTTAAATTTTTACGCACTTGTTGTCTAATTTGTTCGACATTATGTTTGTGTTTACTTTTGGAAATTACTTTGTCAAAAGACATCTCATTAGACTCACCATAAAGAATCTCACACTCGTGAAGCCTGTACTATTGTGATAAGATTTTTTTTTACTCGCTCTGTTGTATTTGGTCTAGGATTTCTAACTGTGGTATATATTGGCTTTATATTTAATTCACTCATTGATTGTTTCCAGTGTTTACTTACGAACTGTTTTCCATTATCTGTCATTATTGCCTTGGGCTTTATAATCTCAACAAAATGCTTTACTTTTGTTACAACAGACTTTGCTGTTGACTATTTTAAAGGATATAATTTAATAAATTTACTGAATGAATCTTGAATGACAAATATGAAAGTGTACCCAAAGGTACCTGATACAAGTGGTCCATATAAGTCTGCCATGACTATATCGCCAATGTTTTCTGTTATTATAGATTTGCAGGGACCCACATATGTTATATTGCTTTTCTTAGATAACTGACATAAATGACAAGCCCTTAATTGGTTTTTAATATCTTTTGTTAAACCTTTCCAAAAGAATCTGTCTCTCACATATTTAATTACCTTATAGGGTCCTTGATGACCCATTTCGACATGCACTTGATTTATAATATCTTGTCTCAATGCTTTAGGTAAATATATTACTTCTTGTAAAGTTTTGTAATATAATACATCATTTTTCAAACTATACCTTTTAAATTTATTGTTTTGTTTTATTATGGAAGTATTTAATGTCTTTAACTTTTCAATAATAGCCAACGACTCTGAATCTTGTAATTGATATACTGATAAGGATTTTAATTTTTCTATCAACTCAATATTCGGTTCGCTCTCTGTGTAAGCAATTTCTAAACTATTATTTTTATCCTCTTGTATTAAATCGCCATCATGAGGATAACGTGATAGCACATATGCAACAATATTACGTCTACCCGATATATGCTGTACTTCATAATTAAATTGTTCTATATACAAAATCCATCGGGTTACTCTACCATTGAATAACTTCATATTATTAATAAACAATAATGCTTTATGATCAGTTAGTATTATTACTTTACTGCTCCTCAAATATGTTTCAAATTTCTTTAGGCAGCTTATTACAGCATAAAACTCTTGTTCAGTAACAGACCAATTTAATTCGGGGCCTTTTAAGGCTTTACTATGATAGCCTAAAATTCTCATTTCATTATTATCATCTATCTGATATAGTACTCCGGCCATACCCACACCGGAACAATCTGTTTGTAAATAATACGGCTTATTAAAGTATGGATGATGCAATTGTATTGTATTAATAAATTGTTGTTTTATAAAATCAAATGCCTTCTGTTCTTTACCGCTCCATTGGAACTTTCGTCCCTTTTTAAGTAATTCACAGAGCGGTATTATGCTCTCGCTATAATTTGGTATAAACCTTCTATAAAAATTGCATAGACCTAAAAAGGCCCTTAATTGTTTAAACTTTTTAGGTGCTGGAAACTCTTGGATCGCTCGAATCTTATCGGGATCTGTCTTTATGCCTTCTGTTGAAATTATAAAACCCAGCATTTTAATTTCTTTACAAATAAATTCACATTTCTGCAAGTTACACGTTAAGCCAGCTTTGTTCAATTTACTTAAAACAATATCAATGTGCTCCAAATGTTTATCTAACGTTCCTGTTGTAATAATGGCTAGATCATCTAAATAGATCACACAAAATTCTTGGACTTCTGGTCCTAATATTAAATTCATGGCTCTGCTAAAGCTTCCTACTGATGTTTTTAATCCTTGCGGCAAAACATTATATACATATGACTTTCCATTGAATGTGAATCCAGTATGTTTTCTACCATCTTTATTTATCGGAATTTGATAATATGCATTATTTAAGTCAATGGTAGTGATATAATTCGCTCCGTGAAATGAATTCAAAACACCTAATTGTATAGGTGGTTTCTCTGTTTCTGCAACCATTTTCTTATTTATGCTTCTGGCATTAAGCAGAACTCTAATTGAGCCGTCCTTTTTAAGAGTGAATGTCAATGGACTACTGTAAGGCGTTGATGTCCTTGTGTGTGATGATACCAGCTTGTTCCATTTCATTTAACTTTTCTTCCATTTTCGCTCTATATGCATATGGAATGGGATAGGACCTAGTAACTATAGGTTCATCATCGATCATTTCAATTTTATGCTCATAGCAATTGGCTCTTCCCAAATTGCTCGAAAACATATTCTTATGCTTTTCCAAAACCTTACTAAGTTTTGCCCTTTCAGAGACCTCCAATATAGATCCTATTTTTATATTTATTAAGGGATCATCGGTACATTGTTTGATGCAGTTATTATGTAATACAGATTTATTATTATATTTGAAAGGTATAAAGTAGTCTTTGTTTTTCACTTTAAATTCTATTCCAACAGTAGTATTTCTCAAATCAATCAATATTTTATTTCTTTTGAGCCAGTCAAAGCCTAATATTAAAGGTCTTATTAAATTACCTACAATTTGTGTTTCAAAGACTACTTCATCTATCTTTATAGGCAATATGATCATCTGTTGTATTTTTGTGCTGCGCTGCCCAACAGCACCTTTTATTTGCATTGCTTTAACTGGCATTATTGATATTTTACGATTATTATCTTTAATTTGTAAATATAAACTTTCTGAAATGCATGTAACATCGCTCCCAGTGTCGAGGAGCGCGTCTATTTCTTTGTCAAATATTGAAACTTTAATTTCAGATCTCATATTCCCTATAAATTCCTTTTGATATTTATCTTCGTCTTCCTCGAAGACGGTTTGCACGAATAACTCCATTATAGGCAAGTCCGACCTGGCTTTTAAGGTGTTTAATATGCTATTTACATTGTCGTTATAACAATCATCGTTGGAGCCACACGCAAGTGTGAGTAACGATCCAAGAGCGAGTCTCATTCGACACTATTCCGAAGATATCCCGGATGTCAGTCTGAGCGAGATTAGGATGGCTCTCCAGCACCTTAAAAACGGTAGGGCCCCAGGCGAGGATGGAATTACAGCGGAGCTTCTGAAAGCGGGTGGAAGACCGGTACTTGAAGTCCTTCAGAAGCTCTTTAATTCCGTCCTCCATGGTGGCATTACACCGGAGGCGTGGAGCAGAAGTGCGGTGGTCTTGTTCTTCAAGAAAGGTGACAACGCTCTCTTGAACAACTACAGACCGATTTCCCTTCTGAGCCGCGTCTACGTGCTGTTTTCGAGAGTCATTACGAATCGTCTCGCGCGCAGACTTGACGACTTCCAGCCTCCCGAACAAGCCGGTTTCCGAAAGGGCTTTAGCACCATAGACCACATACATACCCTTCGGCAAGTTGTACAGAAGTCCGAAGAGTACAATTTGCCACTATGTCTGGCGTATGTGGACTATGAGAAAGCCTTTGATTCCGTCGAAATTTGGGCGGTGCTGCAGTCCTTTCAGCGGTGCCAAGTTGACTGTCGGTATATCGAAGTGTTGAAGTGCTTGTACAGTAGGGCTACGATGGCTATCCGAGTACAGAACCAGAGTACGAAACCTATCCAATTGCAGAGAGGTGTAAGACAGGGTGACGTCATATCCCCGAAACTCTTCACCGCTGCATTGGAAGACGTTTTCAAGCTACTGGACTGGAAAGGATACGGTATCAACATCAATGGCGAGTACATCACTCACCTTCGATTTGCCGACGATATAGTCCTTATGGCAGAATCGCTGGAGGACCTAAGCACTATGCTCAATGACCTCAATAGTGTTTCCCAACGGATAGGTCTTAAGATGAACATGGACAAAACTAAGATCATGTTCAATGTCCATGTCACACCTATGCCGGTAGTTGTTGGGAACACTAAGCTCGAAGTTGTTGACGAGTATGTTTACCTGGGACAAATTGTCCGACTGGGTAAGTCCAACTTCGACCGAGAGGTCAATCGACGGATTCAACTCGGCTGGGCAGCGTTCGAGAAGCTACGACACATCTTCTCGTCAGACATACCTCAAAACCTTAAAACGAAATTGTACAACCAGTGCGTGTTGCCAGTGATGACTTACGGAACTGAGACGTGGTCCTTCACTGCTGGCCGTATGAGGAAGCTCAAGGTCGCTCAGCGAGCTATGGAGAGGGCTATGCTCGGAGTTTCTCTGCGTGATAAACTTAGGAATGAGGATATCCGCAGTAGAACCAGAGTGACCGACATAGCCCAACGGATTAGTAAGCTGAAGTGGCAGTGGGCCGGCCATATAGCTCGAAGAACCGACAACCGATGGGGAAGAAAGGTTCTCGAGTGGCAACCTCGTACCGGTAGGCGAAGTGTAGGGCGTCCCCCCACGAGATGGAGTGACGACCTGGTAAGACATGCAGGAAGTCGATGGATGCAGGTGGCTCAGGACCGTGTTTTGTGGCATTCTTTGGGGGAGGCCTATGTTCAGCAGTGGACTTGTGAAGGGCTGTAATGATGATCATGATGATATAACCAAGGCCTTCTCTGTTAAAATTTGCTTTTAAAGTAATAGGTTTTCGCAACCTTCTATTGTTTTTACCCAATGTTTGACCAGGTCGCCAAACCAGTTTTAATAACATATTTTGCTTTGTTCCCTTTTACATTGTAAGGGGTCGAATCTGGATCTAGTTCGACCTCTACAGCTCTAAATTTGGCTCAGGGGCCGTAACATCAGGTTGGTCATTAGTGAAATGTATTTCATGTACTTCATTAACCTTCTTTTTTCCCTCTTCGGGTTTACGCCATGTTTTGTATGATTGTTGTATTTCTTTATGTTTTTGCTCCGTATTATTATTAAACTTCCTCCTTTTCTCATTATAGTAGGGTTCACGACCTTCATCTTATTTGTCGATGTCATCTAAGTTTCTTAAGAAATCTGTCGTGTCTATTATTGTCTCAATTTTAGCTATTCTCCGTAATTGCTGCACAGTTTTAGGATAATGTCTGATGACATCAGTTACTAATTGTTTTTCAGGTATCGGATATTATAATGTTTGTGCCTTCTCAACAACATAAAGAAAGTAACTAACCATGGTGGGGTGTGTACTTCTATTCCATTTATTTTGCACAAGGAATCTCTTTACTTTATTTTGTTCTTCTTCACCCCAAAACACTCTTAAGAAGTCAGCTTTAAAATCATCAAAAGTTGTCCAACGCACATTATTAATGCGAGCCCAATACTTGGCTTCACCTACTAAGCACTCTTGTGCAATCGAACCATTAGATGGAACTTTCTTTAAATAATTGGTGAGATCTTCCAAAAATGATACTGGATGAGTATTTCCATTTCCAAATTTCGGCTTTTCTATTGTTACATTATGTACATTATATACAATATTTTGTCTAGGATCATTTACATGAGAGGTGCTCGCCCCGGACACCTCTCCTTGATTTATTTTAATTTCGTAATCTTTCGTTTGGTTAATAAATTTTTCCTCAAGATCCTTTATTTTAACGTCAAAGGTTTTCACTGCATTCTTAATTAATTTCTGAAGCATTTTCATCTCATCTTTAGACTTAGCCTTAATTGAGGTTGATTTTTTCTTATTTTTAGCCATTTTTAAATTTTATTTCCACTTGGTTTTTCTTTTATTTTTTTTTTACACTTTTTGTGTCCTTCACTTACTTTAATTGAGTTTTTCCACTTATTTCACTTTATAATATATAGTATTGCAGTTTTTTTTTTACACCTGTTGTGTCCTTCACTTAGTTTAATTGAGTCTTTCCACTTATTTCACTTTTTATTACTTCGCTCCGTTATGCACACACCTCCTATATTATTACTCAATTTTAATATTTAAGCCCCACCCCCAGACTCTCAACCACCCCCAGCAAACACCACTCTCCAAGACACCTCTCCATTTCACGGACAACAAATTGTAGGCATATAGCCTACCTCATAATTTTATATTACCGGCCTCCTATTTAAAATTTAACCTCTATCCTGGTCACGGCACCAAATTGTAACGAACCCCCCCCCATCTTTTTTCTTTTCTACTATATATCCACTTATACTTTTATTTCTTTAGAATCTATATCTGTAAGATATATAAATATATCTAATTTACGTGACCAGTATAACTTGATCTTTCTAAAGGTTTAAATATAGGCCGTTTAATAAATTTATGGCGTGATCGTCTTAGTTAGGACCCTTTTTTACGTTGTGTTTGTATAGTAACTTAGTTCTTTTAGGTGTATCTTGGAAGAATGAATATTCACGAGAGCAATCGAAAGCTGTTGGTAGAGTCTTATAAGCTAAAGAACCCCGTTCACGAAGACAGATTATATGATTTGATACATTTTGAACATTTTAAGCAGGTTTTTAATAAATTTAGAGATTTTTAGAGACATTTTATGCGTTTACTAATATATATATTATTCAATATTCCAAATGGATATTTTTGAACTCTATGCTTATTATTTGCATTTTATTGTTTAAATTATAATTTCTATGACATTTTTAAATGTCTGTATAATGAATTTAATTATTATTTATTAATAATAATTATGAGGCGTCACAATACGTAAAAGTTGTGCAATTTAGTGTTTAAAATGCCTATGCATGAACTTTTTTTGGTTTTATAGATTAAGTTCATAGTAAATTTATGCTGCGGTTCATAGACTACTTCATTCATCCTCGGTTAAGGATCAAAAAGCAGTAGCGAAGGCACCGCAGACGATTAAAATGGAATGCCTTGTTACCAATAGAAAGGATCTCTGGCTCTCTACACTCACCATACGAATCACAGCATTATTCTGCTGTTTCATGCTAGTATTCTGTGTCAGCGTGATCCTACCTCGGTCAAGCCAACCTGTTTGTACTGCAGTCATAGTACGAGTATAGCTACAACGTGTCACTACCACGTAAAAATTGTGAACTTTGCCGTGGCACTAAGGAAATAAATCGCCCAATTTCACCTTGCACGAATCGTGAGGTGACTATGGGAAATGCGGAAATATATTATAATTTATTAGAGGGCGGTACAGTTATATCGCTTATGCTAAACGTAAAATAACTAATACGGTTGCGGGCATTCGCTTAAAAGATACAAAACGTTTGGTACTGCGATCGTCACCGCCTGCCAAATGA